AGGGAAACAGAGATTGGCTGACAACAAGGGTCCGTCCCAAGTCTCTTAAATTACTGCTAGTTATCTTACCTAGCTGACTTTGCTAGCTGTTTAGCCCCTCCCACCTAGGAAAAAATGCGAGGAGCTAGCGCTAGGAGTGATGAGTGAGCATTGCCGGTTTAAGAGACATGAGACGTCCTTTCCACTGAAGCGTCACATGAAGTGACGTCCATTCCTGATGACGGCGGCACCACTGGATCTGCTCTGAGCCATCGTCTGGTGTTACTATGGGTACATCCCAAGTCTCATTATATTCGCTGACCAAAACAGTAGCCCCCACCCCCCGCCGTCATGACTCTGGTCACACACTTTTGCATGTATTACCATTGTTATTGAGTCATTTGTCGAAGTTTGTGCAATTACAGAATGGTCTGTAGCCCTGCTATTCCACTGTCACTGTGATGAGCATCATTATCATTATTATTATTATCATCATTATTATCACTAGGCTATTATTAAATCCACTTGCCATCATTCAACAAGTCAGCTGCTGAGTGAATAAGACATCAGACCTGTCAGTCTACCTCAATCAATCAGTTTTTTTTATAAAGCCCAATATCACAAATCACAATTTGCCTCACAGGGCTTTACAGCATACGACATCCCTCTGTCCTTTGGACCCTCACAGCTGATCAGGAAAAACTCTGCAAAAAACCCTTTAACGGGGAAAAAACGGTAGAAACCTCAGGAAGAGCAACCGAGGAGCGATCTGTCTTCCAGGACGACAGACGTGAAATAGATGTCGTACAGAACAGATCAACATGATAAATTAACAGTAATCTGTATGACACAATGAGAGAGAGAGAGAGAGAGAGAGAGAGAGACAGACAGACAGACAGACAGAGAGAGAGATGCAGGACAGACGGTAATGACAGTAGCTTACAACAGCATTAATGAAAGTAATAAGATTAATTAATATTAATAATTAATATTACCTACAGGCTATTAAACATTATTCCACTCACATGACATGCAGGACAATTAATGATGGGCAAATGTGTTTGTGTGTTTGTGTATTTGTGTGTGTGGTGTTTGTGTGTGTGTTCTTGTGTGCGCGTGCGTAGTGTTATATCAAGCAGCTGCACATTTAACAGCCACACATCACCGACAGTCTGCTGAACAACGTAACGGGTTGTGAATGAAATAAATTTAATTACAACATGACAGTCTTGCACGAAATATCATTAACGTTACTCTTTGTAGTCATGTAGGCATGTGAATTACAGCGTTTCATTGCAAAGAATGCAACAGGTACACTTGCGCTGTTTCTCCGCCATCTCATTCTAATGAGCCAGATGTAGAGGGCAGGTATTTATACATCATGGCGTTCAGCTGAAAAACTCTTCCGGATAGGAAACTCTCGACCATCCTAGCTTATAGCTGCTTAAAGCTTGCTGCTAGCTCCTAGTGCTAGCTCCTCGCTGCACAAATAAGAGACTTGGGACAGCCTAGAAGATGGTGGACCTCGAACGACTTCCGGTTCAAGCGAGGAGCTAACAGTAGCACTATAAAAATAAGAGACTTGGGACGGACCCCAAGGGTGGAGCAAACAAGACTAATACAGAACAGGTGTGAAGGGAAGACTGTGGGAACAGGGAAAGACTAACGAGACAGGTGTGACAGAAAACACACAAAGACAGGAAGTAAAACCAGACACAACACATGAGAAGAGAATCTACAAAATAAAATAGGAAACAGATTAAACATGAACGAATAACATGAAACAGGGAAGACAAACAGAAAACTCCAAAACAAAGTCCAAAGATAGACCACAGCTCTTCAGGCATTGCTTCTGTATTGGGGCAGTAGATTAGATAATGCCTTGATGCTGGCTGTGCCCAGTCTCTGCAGTCCTGAATTGTCCACACTTCCTGCAAGTGTTGAACACCACTTTCCTGTTGGAGCAGTGTCACATCCTGCTTCATAGGAATAAACTACAGCAGGACAAAGATGTGTGGGGATGGTTTAGGAGACCAGTGCCAGGTGAGTTGATTAGAACAGCTGGTGCTTGTTGGCTAGTCATACTCTCAGTTGCTTGCTGGACCCTCAGATAACTGCCACACACAGGAAACAAACAGCCCTACTGCTGTTGCGTTGTTTGCTGTGTGACTGAGAATATTGTTTGTTGAACTGCGTTGGAGGTTTTTGAGCAACTGGAGCTCATGTGCCAGAGATGCCAGGCAGTCAGAGGTGTATGGTGAAGAGTTTTGTATCTATGTTCAAAGTATGTGAAAGTGGTAAAGAGAATAAAAGGACATTATCTTTGAGCAGACTGTCATGTTGGTGGCAGTGAGACCTGCGAAAACCTCAACCAGCTGCTGAGTAGTGCTCTGCATGATCTTGTCAGGGTCTCCTGTTTTTGCTTTTTAGGAACCGGCTCTTTAGACTGAAGGAGCCAGTTCCTAATTCACGTCGTGTTGATGACCCCCCTTGGTTAGAAACCAGCAGTAGGAAGCTAACCCACTATCCGCTAGCACTTGCTTGTATTGACAGGCTTGTTGTTTATAAAGGGCGTTGCTATGGCTACACCAAACTTTATATCTGCGGAGTCTATTCTGGGTCCACGTTACAATATCCAGATCACGTGATGTGATAAATCAGCAATACAATTCGTCGTTGAGCCCACTAACACCCCCCGCACGCACACACAGCAAAAAACAGCAACAAAAAAGAAAACGAACGAACTGCATCTTTGAACCGGCTCTTCAAAGTGAACAAGAGCCAAAGAACCAGCTCTCACAAGTGAATGAGAAATCCCATCACTACTCTGTGTTTGGGGCAGAAAAATATAAACTTTAATAGGTGGTAAGGCATTCACACCAGAAGATACCTACTGGCCTGTTTAGTTCCACCTGTCCCTCATCATTACCCTGCCTTCCTTGTGCATTTAGCCTGTGGGATTCCTTTTGTCTGTGCCAGGTCATCTTCCATGCTACTAATAAGCAAACCAGCGTTATTTATCATCATAAAATGTCACAGTGGATAGAAAAGAATATCCTTTAAAGGGATGATAAAGTTAAGTTGAACCTGAGACTATGAGATTCATAAAAACTGTAACAGATCCTAGTTTATCTTTAAGGATTGTGAACAGTATTAGAAAAAGGCTGACACATTCAACAACCAATATTTAAAATCATACCTGAGCAGGTTTCCTATTGAGGCTTCAGTGCTGAGCAAAGTAAAACACCAAACTGCGGCTTTGGCAAACTGAAAAGATAGTACTGCTTAGGGCCATTTCAAAGGTTAGTTTAGATGACACTTGTCTGGCAGAGGCTGCAGCATCACTGGTAGGAACTGCAGCAGAGCAGAGCCAGCAGCTGTTGTCAAAGCTGGGCCAGCTGCAGCACCAGATGTGGCCGTCTGCTCATTAGGTGTCTGATAAAACCCACACCCCTGAATATATATCAGTCTTGTCAACATATACGAAGTATGATTGCATCTTTAGTCTATTTGTATTATTTAAGTATCCCAAAGCTGCAGCTCAGGAACGTGAATCCTGGCCTGCTGGGGGGAAGCCCCATCCATCACAGGCCTGAAACTGCATTTCCTGTTAACTGCTCCACCACAGCTGTTACAGCCTCATTCTCCCTCTTGAGCGTGGTGGTCTGTTTTGTGTCTCTGCCACTGAGCTGCTGCAGCTCGAGTTCACGGACGTGTATTTTAACAGGTGCATGCTGAGGGCTGTCGTAGTAGGGCGCTGTCCAAAGTTTTTTTCTGCTAGATGGGTCCCCTTTTAAAGTTAGTGACCCTATCTCACCTGAAAGTGCTTCCAACAGTGACTGAGGTGTGCAAAGCTTTTTTCCTCTGGAAATTCATGTATTCATGAAATTGATTTTATCGTGGACTACCTTGGCTAAGTAAATGATACATATAATGAAGACATGTAAGAATTTGTACAGTAGGTGGCTCCTACTTTGTCAATCTGACCGCGTGGCCTAATGGATAAGGCGTCTGACTTCGGATCAGAAGATTGAGGGTTCGAGTCCCTTCGTGGTCGTCTTTTGCTCACATTATTTTTTTGTGTTACAATAGGGTTGTATCATAACTTAATCGTTGTTTCCGCGATAGGTTAAACGACGCTCAGCGGCTAAAGCATGTAAGTGATATCTCGCTTGTCACTCACACATGAATTATTGATAAGCATGAATGGAGATAACTCCTGATAGCTAACGTTAATGCTAATGTTGGTTATGACAATTTAAGCGAACTAGCCGTCACACAGCAATGCAACATTTCGGATTAACTCTGCCGTGAAACTCAAAAGAACAAGCTAGTTAGCTAACGTTAGCAATAGGTGAAAGTGCACTTAGCTACGTTAGGTTAGCTAACATTTCATTTAAGTTAACGTAAAGTCACAGTAATGGCAAAAATCATAATCAGTCACGTAATAGTCACTTAGCTACAGAAACAACAATAGATACTTTGGCGCAGTTAGCATACATCACATTAGGACACAATCAAAACAGAATAAACATAACCAAAAAATGGAAAAAATAATTATGTACCTCACCGTCTTATGTTTATAGAGCAGAGTGGCGCAGCGGAAGCGTGCTGGGCCCATAACCCAGAGGTCGATGGATCGAAACCATCCTCTGCTAATCGTTTTCTTCTGTTCGTATTGGCAACTTTATATGTGAAGGTGATCACATCATTGAGACTTCTGTTTTAATTTAGCTCTGCTTTCCCTTCATTCAGACACTGCTGTATTTGCAGGCTGTATTCTGTGGCAGGAATATTGTAATTTATTTCTGTATTTATTTATAAATATATTTACTTGTTAATGCTTAGAGATTTTTTTGTCTTTCAAAAGGACTTCAAATGTTGAAATAAATAGATTTATTTTAAAAAGTACAGAAATGGAAAATTAATGCATAAACAAATGCTGAAATAAAAAACAATCATTAAATAACAACATACAAATTATTTTAACAACAAAAATAAATAAATGTCCTAAATCAATTATGTGTAAAAATTGTATTAATAAAATTAAGACATTTCTTTTTTTTAATCAGCTTTTATGTATGTATTTACTATTGATATCATTATTTACTGTATATATTTATTTTATTCATTAATTAATTTATTTAATGACGCCCAAGTCATATTTCTTCCTCCAGAAGAGGATCAACTACATGAAAATGACCTAAGTTTCAGCCAATTATTGTGATATTGTGACCTGTTGATATTTAACAGACAGACCTATAAACTAAAGTTTGTGCTATCACTTCTATCTTTTCCCCCTCTAACATCTGAAGGTCACAATTTTTGAATAATAGCTATTCATGTAATACAGTGTGATAAATATGTTTGGAGTGGAAATACAACAGAAAATCCTATGCAGATCACAGAATCTGATGCGTCACAGAATGCTGTTTATCACCCGTATACAGTCGGAGTAGTTTACTTTAAATCATCTCACACTGATCTTTATGATTTTCTGGTATTCAGTATGAAAAATGTTGCTACTCACTTTTATTGTGCAGAAATATAAAGACCAAATAATTTACAGTGGACATTTAAATAGTATGGAAATACTGAAAATACAGTCATGAGAGGTAGAGGTCTATCAATTAGTCAAAATCCACTCGTCTGCTCTTCTTGGTAACTGAATGGATCTTCTTCTGTTTGAGTCGCTCCTTGTTCCCCTTCTCTAACCTGCACAAGATATTTCACATCAAACACACACATATAAGACACATTCATAATCAATGTGGATTGGAAACACTGTGCTCTGCTTACTGGGAAGTACCTGGCTGCCCTAAGAGCTATGTCTTCTGCTGTTGGTTCATATGGCTTCTCACTGGCCTCAGCTATGATGGCAGAAATCTTCTGTATACAATCAGAGAGGTTTCTTTGCTGACTCCTGCTCAGCTCTGAGGTCACCAGCAGCTCCCCGGCCTTATTGATGCGGTTTTTGTTCTGTGCCACAAAGCAGATAATGTGTACAGTTGGTCTAAATATAGATTCAAAATTCAGAAGTCATTCAAACACTAATTGTATGGCTTTTCTGTTGACAACACAATGATCCTTTGGAGAAAAATAATAAGAGAAAATTCAGTGGAAATCTAATATACATTTCTTTTTGTTGACAACTACAATAACACAGCTGCATACAAAAGTATTTGACTGTAATCAACAATTTTATTCTGATTGCACAGCAATTGAAAACAAACCTTTTCAAAGATTTTCTGTCGAACATCTTCTGGGATCCAGTCTGCTGTTTTCACATGGAATCTGACCTCTGCTTTTGTGCTGACTGTGGATTGAGAAGACATTACAAAAAGGAATATAGTGTGCAGATAGAGCAGATTTAAGAGTCAAGGCCTAGTACAAGTTGTCAGGAGTCACCTGTCGCTTTAGCACATATATGTAGTCTTTTCTACTAAGAAGAATTATTTGTAGGTCCAGTGTGTAGGATTTAGGGTGATATATTGACAGAAATGGAATATAATGTAATCAGTATGTTTTTTCTTAGTGTATAATCACCTGAAAAAAAGAATTGTTGTGTTTTTGTTACCTTAGCATGAACCATATTTATCTATGGGCACTTTTCCAAGGAGATTGCCATGTGTTTCTACAGTAGCCCGCAACAGAAAAACCGAACACTGGCTCTAGATAGGGCCATTCACATTTTTTTGTTGGCCACCATAGTCCATGGCGAGAGTGTCTGATTGTTTAACTGCTTTATTGAGTGTTTTTACTAGTTTAAGTCACCTGGTTTGTTTGTTTTGGAGAGGAGGATACCTCTAAATGTAATTCGACTCTTAAAAAATTCCTGAACAAAAAACACTGGAGGAATTCTAACCTGGAGAAGTTCAGCTGGTTGCAATGTGCAATCCTCACCTCTAGATGTCACTAAATCCCCCTAAATATTACACAAAGGACCTTTAAAATAAAGAAATTAAATTCTGAGAACCTTTATTGACGTGCTGACCACCAGGACCACTGCTTCTGCTGTAAGATACTCTCAGACGATCTAAGAGCCAGGAGGAGAAGAAACATATTGCTGAAAAATACAAATCTGTAATGAAAATACTTTGTTATTCTGCTTAAGTGAATATATATTTGTATATTTACCCACTGGGATGTGGACTTGTGTGTCCTGAAAAAATAATAAAATAATTATACTGATTAACTGTACACCAAGGATATGATCAGCATTATGATTTTTTTCCCAATATTACTTGTGTCATCTTAGTTATCATCTCTTGACTGCTACATGGAGAGGATGTCACAGCAAACTCCATTCACAAGTCTGACCACAATGCAACAGTGACATCTGGAGGTTTGTCAAGGGAAAAGCTCAGCTGCTGCTGTCTGTCAGCACATGGCTATCTTTTCATCCCTTCATTATCCGTTGCTCCTGCTCCCCTCTGTCCTGAGACTCAACCTCTTTGCCCCTTAAATCTGTGGTGTCGCTGGGGTGTAAAATGTGGCACAATATACAGGGAGCTCGTCTCGTTTGGACCGCACAATAATGTGATACCTGAATGAGGTTAATATGTATGTATAATTACATACTCCATATCTACGTCAGCACAACTTATCAGATGGCTTCACAAAGTCTTTTGTGTTTAAACAAATAATAACAATACTCATGTTTTTACTGGGGGTCTGTTTAATCCCGCTATAATAAGAGAGTTTGACGTGACATTCATAAACGATGGCTGCATTTGTTAGTGTTTTAACTCACCTGTGTGATGTCTGTCTCTCGGGTCCCGTATCCAACACTCAGCTGTAACGCTTTGTTAATGTCTCTTATCTCGACACTCCTTAGTTTGACATGTTGTGGAAACAGTTTTACTCCTACACTACTACAAAGTAAATAAGATCGTCGTGCTATGTGCGCCGCCATCTTGGCCTGACGTCGTTACAATGGGAGTGAACTGCTGCTGTCGCCAAGCTACTTTTGGAATCGTATGTGTGTGTACCGGAGAATAGCCTCGCATGCTGCCGAAACACACTGTATTTTACTTCGGTTTCCCGCTGTGGCAGATGTTAGCCGAAAAACGAAAAACAGTCAGGTTCCACCGAGATTTGAACTCGGATCGCTGGATTCAGAGTCCAGAGTGCTAACCATTACACCATGGAACCACATACGCAAAGAACCTAAAAGACATAAATATGAATATTAACATATGGAATATGACGAGACAGATTAAAGCATTTGGAACAAAAACATTACTGCGATTTTAGATTGCATGAAAGTGCTTTTTAAAGAGCGATGACATAAAACCATTTGTTGTGTAGCAGATTATGACAGTTAATAGAAATGACAGCTATGACCAGAATAAAAATAACCATATAGTTTGCTAGCTAACGTGCAAAGACAAAGACTGCAACCGGTACAAGAATTATAACACACATTGCAATTCGGTTTTTAGTTTGGTTAGAGCTATCAGGGAAATAATTTCAAATACATTTGTTATAGCTCATATACACATAGCTACAGTACAGGCCAAAAGTTTGGACACACCTTCTCATTCAATGCGTTTTCTTTATTTTCATGACTATTTACATTGTAGATTCTCACTGAAGGCATCAAAACTATGAATGAACACATGTGGAGTTATGTACTTAACAAAAAAAGGTGAAATAACTGAAAACATGTTTTATATTCTAGTTTCTTCAAAATAGCCACCCTTTGCTCTGATTACTGCTTTGCACACTCTTGGCATTCTCTCCATGAGCTTCAAGAGGTAGTCACCTGAAATGGTTTTCCAACAGTCTTGAAGGAGTTCCCAGAGGTGTTTAGCACTTGTTGGCCCCTTTGCCTTCACTCTGCGGTCCAGCTCACCCCAAACCATCTCGATTGGGTTCAGGTCCGGTGACTGTGGAGGCCAGGTCATCTGCCGCAGCACTCCATCACTCTCCTTCTTGGTCAAATAGCCCTTACACAGCCTGGAGGTGTGTTTGGGGTCATTGTCCTGTTGAAAAATAAATGATCGTCCAACTACACGCAAACCGGATGGGATGGCATGTCGCTGCAGGATGCTGTGGTAGCCATGCTGGTTCAGTGTGCCTTCAATTTTGAATAAATCCCCAACAGTGTCACCAGCAAAACACCCCCACACCATCACACCTCCTCCTCCATGCTTCACAGTGGGAACCAGGCATGTGGAATCCATCCGTTCACCTTTTCTGCGTCTCACAAAGACACGGCGGTTGGAACCAAAGATCTCAAATTTGGACTCATCAGACCAAAGCACAGATTTCCACTGGTCTAATGTCCATTCCTTGTGTTTCTTGGCCCAAACAAATCTCTTCTGCTTGTTGCCTCTCCTTAGCAGTGGTTTCCTAGCAGCTATTTGACCATGAAGGCCTGATTGGCGCAGTCTCCTCTTAACAGTTGTTCTAGAGATGGGTCTGCTGCTAGAACTCTGTGTGGCATTCATCTGGTCTCTGATCTGAGCTGCTGTTAACTTGCCATTTCTGAGGCTGGTGACTCGGATGAACTTATCCTCAGAAGCAGAGGTGACTCTTGGTCTTCCTTTCCTGGGTCGGTCCTCATGTGTGCCAGTTTCATTGTAGCGCTTGATGGTTTTTGCGACTCCACTTGGGGACACATTTAAAGTTTTTGCAATTTTCCGGACTGACTGACCTTCATTTCTTAAAGTAATGATGGCCACTCGTTTTTCTTTAGTTAGCTGATTGGTTCTTGCCATAATATGAATTTTAACAGTTGTCCAATAGGGCTGTCGGCTGTGTATTAACCTGACTTCTGCACAACACAACTGATGGTCCCAACCCCATTGATAAAGCAAGAAATTCCACTAATTAACCCTGATAAGGCACACCTGTGAAGTGGAAACCATTTCAGGTGACTACCTCTTGAAGCTCATGGAGAGAATGCCAAGAGTGTGCAAAGCAGTAATCAGAGCAAAGGGTGGCTATTTTGAAGAAACTAGAATATAAAACATGTTTTCAGTTATTTCACCTTTTTTTGTTAAGTACATAACTCCACATGTGTTCATTCATAGTTTTGATGCCTTCAGTGAGAATCTACAATGTAAATAGTCATGAAAATAAAGAAAACGCATTGAATGAGAAGGTGTGTCCAAACTTTTGGCCTGTACTGTATATCCTTACTTCGGGGATTTATACCAAGAAGCACCAGAAAATTGGATGTTTTATTCCATTTTAGTTGGCACTTTATCCAACTGAACCTGAATTAAAAAAAAAAGTCCAAAGAAGAAAGTACAAAAAAGGAGTGGCAGTTAAAAATCCGACGTCCCGTCTGTGGGTCCTAGTAAGGTTTTATTAGATGATTATCATATGTAAACAACTGCTACATTTGCAGTGTTAAAGTGATTTACTCACAGGACCTATTGTTCAAAAGCTACGCTCCTTGCAGTGCCATTTCAAGATACAACTTTCTCGGCAGGGTCAATAAATGTTTCTGTCAGACAAACAACAAACAAACAAAAAGTTATAACTCATTACAATCCACAGATCAATTATATGCCAACAACATGGTGCTTAAGTAGTTTTCATGCACTCCCAGAAGTCCAGATGATCTAAATCCAGCAAACTCTTTAATCCAAACACATTGTTACATCTATAGATATCCACAAACTCATGTTGCATTGTTTCAAACATTCATATTTCTCCACATACTGCCCATAATGTCTCCAGTTTCTGTGTAAATGTTGCCAATAGCTTGCTATCAAAGTGGTGGCTGACCTTTTGACTGATATCTCAGTTGAGCCAGAAGAAACTGAGTTCCTCACAGCCGATCAATAGCTAGCAATTGGCCCGATGGCTCATGGGTCTTGTAGTCAATGACACTCCAGACCCCAAGTGCCCTTTTGGACACGTTACTGGCACCATAAACTATTATAAATGTACATAAATGATTTACAAATAGCTTCTTAGTTGTCTTAAGGGAGAAACAGTCTTTGTTATCAATTCAAGTTTTCTAGTTGAGTTTTTTTTGTACAGTAAACTCCAAAATAGACATTTCTGTCTGTGCTGACTTGTTTTTCACTCATAATCACACATTCAGTACATTGTTTTAGCCACTTTTTCTCAAGTGCCTGGACAAGACTTTGGAAAAAACATGTATAAAAGGTTTTTTTTTTCCTGTGATATTGTTATCTACTTTAAATTTGGACTAGGTGAGGCTTCATGCTATGGTCCCCTCTTGTTTCCAAGCTAATAAGTCCCAGTTCCATTAATCTGCAGCTTCATCTTTACTTTTCAATTAAATAAAATAAACTAAAATAAAAAATAGAATAAAATAAAATAAAAATAATAGTGTGTTGAAACTTATATATAACTCAGTGAAAGAAGCGCTCACAGTGATTCTGACCGTTGGAGAAAACACTTCAGTGTTACCTTCAAATAAGAACATGCATGTAAATGTACTAAAAATGAAACAGGAACAGCTTCCAGCTCACTTGAGGTATACCTTGCATAGGTGTTATACGTATTATTGGGTATTTTACAGGACTGTTAAATATGAGGAATGTACTGAACACATTGTTTGCTGTGGGGACGGACTGTGTCTCAAGTAAAAGCACTCGACAGCGATAGGAGAAATGATTTAGTGGCATTTAGTGAAATGTAGCAAATTGTGTACAGTACACAAAAGTCGTGTATAAATCTCATTATGCCAAGAGGGACCTCTGTATTATGAGGAAGAAAATACCGGAACTATTTTACGGGGGTCTATGTTGCAATAGGTCACCACCAGCGGACGGACACTGCTTGTTTTCGTTTTCAAAACAAACCAGCCTTCAACGTAGCTATGTGCTACGTGACCTAAACCTCTGAGCTTTGTTGAGATGGATTGGTAACGTAAAACAATATGTTGATATATTAACTAGTGAAACAATGGCAGTGTTTGTCGTAGAGGATTAGCTATCACTTCCTCGGAATAGCTTCAGAGTATTTTTAGCTAACGGTAGATAGCTAATAGTAGAAGCTAGTCACGCAAGTTGTTGTTAACCGCACTAGCAGTATTAACTTACGTAATGTCTCAAGCTATGCGTTGACAGGTCGCAACACGCAAAACTGCACATGATATCAAAATCATAGTTTGGGGGTTAGCTAATATTAAATTGGGTAACTTTAGCGGATACACACAGACATCTGCTCTGATACTCATCTCGACGTTAGCACGTAGCTAGCTTACATCATAAGAAAACATCTCGACTATTGAGCAACAAAGGAAAGTTACGTTAGGACGTGAGAACGGTGGGCAGAGCTCTGTGCCAGCCTGTGTAGCTTCAAGTCATGCATGACTTGAGGAGGTGTTCACTGTTCAAGAGAATCCTGTCCACTATATAGTGGTGAAGAGGTTGATAACCATCAGTGAGATCTTGGGGCTTGTGTACCTGCAAAATGCCTGGCATCGTGGTGTTTGGACGGCGGTGGGGGATCGCCAGTGACGACCTTGTGTTCCCCGGCTGCGTTGAACTGTTCCTCCGTATACTTTGGTATGTTGTTAACGTTCATGGATGAGTGTGATTCACTGAGGACTCTTGCTACCTGACATTCAACCTGTTAGGCATAATGATAACATTGCATTGTCACTATCTGCTGCTGTTTTCTCTTAAGGTGGATTGGTACCATGATCCTGTTCACTTATCACAAGGGTCATTTCGATTGTAATGGGAAAGGAGTTCTTCACAGCTACCTGGTTGGACTTTTGGTTGTGCTGGCGCTCATCATCCTGTCACTATGTGCTATTGTCTACGTCAGTGCCCAAGGTAAAGTTGTGGTTTATATGGTCTCCTACCTTAAATGGATAGTTCAGATTTTTTTGAATTGTGGTTGTATGGGGTTCCCTGTTCAACTCCACTTCAAAAAAATCCAAACTATCCTTTCAAATTCAAGTGTGCTTACTAGACATGAATAGACATGTACAATGTTTTATATGGTGGAAGTCACAGGATTACATCATTTTGCCTGATAGCAATAAT